CCTTTTATGGTATTTAAGACCTACACATGGATTCCTCTGAATTTCTATACATCATCAATGCCAACCCAATTCATAAGACAGTATCAGAAGACAAGTAAGGAAACTGGGAAGTCTTTTCCTTATTTATCTATAACATCAGGTCCACACAGTTACCCTTTCAATTGGTCATTTGCCTACCTAGAATTTCTAACATATGTCTAATATGGACACATCCTGAAGAATCCTAGCCTTGCAAGCTATGGATCATGTTTGTATCCTTCCCCATGTACTCCTCTTTATGCATTTGATCACTACTTTCTGTGACAATTTAGTAACCCATAGAATATAAAGGAAATGAAAATTGTGGGATCTCTGCATTCAACTTTAAAGGGGGACATAGAAATGGTAGTGGTGTACATAGTCAATAAAAAATCAAACATTTGGTAATCATGCATGTTTCTATTTTACTATTTGCTTTTATCTTCTGACTTGATAAAATAAATTTTTATTTTTTTCCTCTGGTGCATTTTCCTTGCTATTTTAATTTTATAAGTGAGAGCTACTGAAATTGTTATTGCTTCATAAATCCTTGCTTCACAGGGAAAACTGGATTCAATGGAAACATTTATAACAAAGGATCAAATTGGAATGTGCCACATTTTAAATGACTCATGGGGTTAAAAAATAAATCAATTTTAAACTCCTTTCAATCTAAGTTTCTTTTAAAAGAATAGTACTGAATCACTGTGATGTTTTGAGACTCAATGACAGCCTTATAAATTACAGCAATCTCTTGAATTTTTAGTTGCATTTCTTCTTTCAGTTCTCTAGAAAGTGATGAGATGTGTGCTGTTAATAGTCTTTTATATTTTTGCAGTGCTTTAAACTTTCCAAAATTGTTCTCTTATTTAATCCATTAAATCTACCATGTGAAGCCAATAGGGTAGGTATTCAGTTTTGATAAATGAAAAACTGAGGCAGAGAGGAGAAAATGTTGAAACATTTGTGGGAAAACAATTATTTCAATGCCTAGTTAGAAGTGTTACTCTAACTGGAGTCTTCTCTCAAGAGGTTTAAGTACTCCCCCCATCCCCCCTGCCAAATGTTAACACTTGTTCTTTTAGTTTTCTCATGGTAAGTAGTTCACTTTTCTTCCTTTTATAAGCCTTTTGAAATTTTTTTTATATTACTTTATGTAGTTGTACAAAGGAGTTGCCGTTTAACAAAGCAGTTTACAAAAGTATATCTTGATATCCTTTTGTTGTTTGGAAAAAAAGCAGAAAATGGCCTGGGGGTAGAGATTTTATTTTTTACCAAGTGAACAGAAAATATAATTACCTTTAAGGTTGTAAATCATTATTATGCAAATAACAATTTTTGGAGATATTTTTGTCAGCCACCAAGTATTTTAAAAACAATAACTTTGAGATGCTTTGACTAACCTAGAAAGTAGGGATAATATTTTCTGTGACATGGCTTTTATCTATTTTATCTTCTTCTCTTTTCAAACTTCTTAGTCTGAAAATATTTATTACTCCTTTTATTTTTGCACTCAGTAGGCCTTGAACTCAGGGTCTGGGTGCTGTCCCTGAGCTCTTTGGCTGTATCATTTGGAGCCACAACTCACCGAGCCTGGGCTGTCTCTGAACTGCGATTCTCAGGTCTCAGTGTCCTGAATAGCTAGGATTGCATGTGTCAGCTACCAGTATTTGGCTTATGACTCCCTTTTTACATATAATCAATGAAGATAAGGGTTAAGCTATTTTTTTCAGAATCATGTTTTGCCATAATTCTTAGCTCTGACCAAACACCCCCTCCCCCCGCCCAGGTCTTCTCTTCTGTCATAAGAAAGGCTGTTCTTATTTACATCCAACCCATATGTACTTAGTCTACAGCCTACATATTCTGGGAAGATTGACAGGTGAAAATAGGTCAGTTCAAAGATGCATAGTTTCTTTAGTTTTATATTTTAGGGTGTCTTAGAATGTATTTGTTAACTATGACTTTTTGTTGATAGACTGAAAAATATAGTTTCATTAAAATGCATTTGTAGTTAGAATTTTAGGAAATTTGATTTTTGATTTTCATTATTTTGTGTCTGTTAATTTGCTGGTAAGTGTTTCAAGAGTCCTGCATTTGGCACCACCCAAGGTCTAAAACCATTATCAGAAGAAACCTATATTTACATGATTTGTCTGAAGTGAGCTGGAAGTATGGTCGATAAATGAAGACAACGACATTCCTCTAGTGTTAATGAATTCACGAACAAACAGCTATTCTTACTAGAAACTTTCCACATAGCTTTTGGCTTTAATCAGTAATCATTCTTTACCCAGTAATAGCAAGCTAATTTTGAGACATGTGGTGTTTCTGTCTTTAAATTGAAAGAGGCACATTGATATAATGAGCCCACCTTTGAGAAAGCAGTGTTTCCAGAAAATCTCCCTTCAGGCTCTGCCTGACGTGGATCCTGGCAGTCCTTACCTTGTATCTAAACCTCTCCATCAACGGCAGTGGCAAAAGCAATTGCCAATGTTGCAAAATCATTTGTATTAGTGAGCTGTATGTTGACCTGATGATTGGTTTGCGGGTTTGTTCACATTAGAATTGTGTGTGTAGTGTGTTGGTCCTGGGACTTGAACTCAGGACTTGAGCACAGCTCCTGAGCTGCTTTTTTGCTCAAGGCTTGGGCTCTCCCACTCAAGCCAGAACTCCATTTTGATTTTTTTCTTTAGAGTATTTTTGTTGTTGTTGTTGATCATGGGGCTTGAACTCTGGGCCTGGATACTGTCCCTGAGCTCTTCAGCTCAAGGCGAGTGCTCTACCACTTGAGCCACAGCGCCACTTCTGATTTTCTGGTGGTTAATTGGAGTTAAGAGTCTCAGGGACTTTTCTGCCTGGGCTGGCTCTGAACCCCAATCCTCAGATCTCAGCTGCCTGAGCAGCTAGGATTACAGGTGTGAGCCACTAGTGCCTGGCTGATTTGGTTTGCTGGTTTGTTTGTGTTACTTTCCCCCAGCCTCTATGTGTCATTCTGTCACTAAAGCATCTCCCTTCAACAGAAACTACAACTTCTTATCACTTGAGGCCTCTCAACACCTATTCCTCTGTGAGTACTCACCGCCCTGTTCTGGAGCTTCAGCAACTGTGACCCCTCCTCTAATATCCTACTATTAGCTCTCTTTATGCTAGTTTCTTTGCTTTTTGTTCCCATTTTGTATGACTAAATATTCTAGACTCATCTTTTACATCGTGGCTACTAAGAAACTTTCAGAGAGTACTTTGTGGTTATAATCTGTTTCTGTATTAAGTATTTTAAAAATAGCTTTGTAGAGATATACTTTGTATATCATACAGTTTACCCATATAGAGCATAAACTTCAGTGTTTTGCTTATATTATTCACACACACATATAAACCATGTCTATAATCAATTTTTTTATTTAAAAAAATTTTTATTGTGAACATACTGTACAGAGGGGTTACAATTACATGGGCAAGATAATGAGTACATTTCTTATCAAGCATTGTAACCTCCTCCTTTGTTTACCCTTCACATCCCTTCCCAGCCTCCCCCCACCCCACCCACCCAATCCTCCCCCCCCCAACCAAAGTTGTAAAGTTCATTTTCAACATGACAACTTGTACTTCTCATTGTTGCAACGGGTCCACCTGTATCCTTATTTAAACGGCTTGGTTTTCCCTTCCCCTCCACAAATTATACAGACATCAAATACAGTGAAAGCAGGGGTTATGCTGTGGGGGAGGGACATACAAAGCAACAAAGAAATAATCTTATAAATGCATTAGAAACAAATGCATGAAAGAAAAAAACATTTAAATAGATATCTAAGGGTTCATTTTTCTAACATCACCTTATCTGACCTTTTCTGCTTGACTCAGACATATACTAGTTATTGCAAATAAGGGAAACCATGGGACCTATATTTCTTTGGGCCTGACTTACTTCACTTAATATAATTTTTTCCAAGTCTTTCCATTTCCTAACAAATGGGGCATGTGTATATATACCACATTTTCTTGATCCATTCATCTACTGAGGTGCATCTGGGTTGGTTCCATATCTTAGCTATGGTAAATAATGCTGCAATAACATCTTAATCACCTCTAAAAGAAAACCTGAGCACTTTAGGTGTTCCTTTGTAGCCCTAAGCAGTCATCTTTCTGACTTTCCTGTTGTGAACTTCCATGAGGGTAGCATTATTGTAATATGTGGGATATTGTGCCTATTTTATTCACTTAGTATGGTTATTTGTGCATTCCTTTTTATGGCCAATAATATTCTATTGTATGGATATGTGTGTGTGTGTGTGTGTGTGTGTGTGTGTACCTGTCCTGGGGCCAGGGCCTGGGTGCTGTTTATAAACTTTTTGTTCAACCCTAGAACTCTACAACTCTACTTCCAGATTTTTGATAGTTAATTGGAGATAAGAGTCTCATGGCCTTTCCTGTCCAGAATGGCTTAGAACCACAATCCTCAGATCTCAGTCTGCTGAGTAGCTAGGATTACAGGTGTGGCTCCATTGTGTAGATATTTTACATTTTATGAATCCATTTATCTCTTGACAAACATTTGGATTATTTCTACCCCTTGGCTATTATGTATAATACTTCTCTGAACATGTATGTACCGGATTTTCTGTGAACATAAATTTTCATTTGCCTTGGGTATGTTCCCAGGAATGGACATGCTGGGTCAAATGGCAGTGACAGATTTAATAATTGTTTGAAGGACTATCAGACTCTTCCAAAGCAGCTGTATCATTTGACTTTCCCATATTCCACAAGTATAACATCCTCAGAGACTTTACATCTTCATAATACCTGTTGCTATCTTTTTATTCCAGGCATCCAACCAGGTACAGAAAACTCTCTCATCTCCTTTGGGTTTATTTTCCTTCGGCACCCACATGTTCCCCAGGATGCAGCAGGGCCTCAAGGGTTGATATGACCAGATTGAATATATTATAAAAGCTGTTGCTTTTCATTTTGCATTTTAGCAAATGTCCAGCAGGAACCTGTGATGGATGTACATTCTACTTCCTGTGGGAAAGTGTTGAAGCATGCCCTCTGTGTACAGAACATGACTTTCATGAGATTGAAGGAGCCTGTAAGAGAGGATTTCAGGTAAGACCCGCACCCGTCTACATAGATGTTGTGTTGAAATAACAACTTTTGCCATGTTTCCCAATATATCAGTGGTGGATTTCTTTGGATACGAAAACCTCCTGACTGAAAAAAAAATAGTAGTTGCAACATATTGCAATAGGTCTATTTACTTTTTAAAATCAGACATTTCCTTTCTTCCTTTTTTTCTGAGCCATTCTTTATACATTTTCACTTTATGTTGACAGGACGTGTACTTTCCCCAATTCTAAAAATATATGAAACACAGAGGTATATAAAGTTAAATTTATAAAATTAAAGTCCCCCATGCATAGCTTATGGAAACAAAGAGTTATGGAACTTGCAATGAATGTGTTCTTATCAAATTGCATCTCAAAATCCATACTAGGTTTCAAGTGAATATTAAGCATTATAGCTAAAGTCATGAAGTCGTAAAGATGCACAGCGAAGCTACATAATCACTGACAGAGATATTTTAAAACTTATCATCAAAGTTATCTTAATCCCCCTGCATGCTGTGGGGGGATTAATCTTTCAGATTGCAGTGTTAGCCATTTTATTATTTTCAATGATATGTGGACAGATGAACAGATAAGGTTTTCTCATGAATAGAATGAATAAGATTTTTTTTCCAGTTGCTTGATTTTTTTTTCTTTGCTAGCTTTTGAGGAGCCTACTGAAAAGTTAAACATTCTGTGTTTATTAATCTCTGTGTACTTTTGAAGTTCTAAGATGTTTAGAAAGTGGTCACTAGACATTAGATCTTTGCCTTTTTGTTGGGTGGTATTCATGTGGTAAAGTCAAAACAAAATCTTGCACAATCTTCTTTTTTTCTTGATAGAATGTACTTTGAAGGTAATCAACATTTTCAGACTAGAGCTGACATTTTTCTCTGCATTGTCATAATTTATACTTAGAGATACAACAACTGAATTTGAGTATGCCTCTGTATTTCCCACCTCATCATTCTTATACAAATATGACCTATCATAAAATTCATTTGCTCTATGAAAATGCTACAGTTGTCACGGACTAAAACCAATTCAACCACTAATGTCCTTCTATAGAGCTCTGGGGTCATTTAATCTTCATGCAAATTGCTATGGATCACTGTCTGTTGAATTGCACATTGAACTCTTGATTTATTTATTCCAAAATTGCTATTCAAGACCCAGTACATTGATTTTAATTGGTGGCTGGTTAATTGTGATTTGGTATTTGGGAAATATTGCCCTAAAGGAATTTATTCACCCATTATGGGAAGGCAAGAATGCCGGGCACAGGTATGTATTGGTGACCTAGAACAATGTCCTCCATGATTTGGCATGTGGGCATGATCTGTTTGCTTATTTTCATGTTAGACACCCAACTTGACTAGGCCTCGTGAAACCAACGTGCCCTGGAATCAGGTTCTTCTCTTTTCAGGGAAGTGGCTTGTTGGGTCAATGTGTATCCATGATGTATGAGTGAAATCCATTCCAATTAGTGCTAAATCAAGAATCTAAGTTTTCATTCAAAAACATGATTAAGAGCTAAGATATTATACAAATTTGAGGAAAACTGCATAGAAGATGGGTCCATTTTTTAATCATTTTTATTCAACTGCTTCACATACCGTTTTCATTTCATTTTTTATGACTTCACATACTCTTCTCTGCGTTTTATCCCTTCTTTCCATAGATTTCATTACATTAATTTGGAATAATCTTCTATGCCTACGATGAATAAGAATTAACCAATTGTTTTTCCTTCTATACAAGAAATTGACCCAATAAGAAATCTAGCTTTAACAATTGAACCTAAGTCTCATTTTTTCCTATTTTTCATTTTTATAAGGAAACCCTATATGTATGGAATGAACCTAAATGGTGCACCAAAGGCATTGCTTTGCCTGAGAAAAAGTTGTCCACATGTGAAACAGTTGACTTTTGGCTCAAAGTGGGAGCAGGTGTGGGAGCTTTCACAGCTGTTTTGCTGGTGGCTCTCACTTGCTACTTCTGGAAAAAGAATCAGAAGTAAGTAAACCTCATTGGAATGATCACTTAAGAACTAGGGGCTTTGTTTATGTTGTGAACATTTTAGGCTTAATTACTGTATTCAGTAGATCATCTCAGAATCACAAGAAATTTATTCCAGTGAAGGAGTTACAGGAAAGACCTTTGAAAAAGCAAACCGAGGAATGATTATCATTTAGGTAATAGAAAGCTCATAGGATATCAGATTTCATAGATTCAGACTCATTTATTATAAAACAAAGCAAACTGAAAACTGCAATTTACCTAGGCAGCAGAGATGAGATTGGAAAGCAGAGCTAGTCTGGGTATGTTTTCCTTTTTATAACTGTATGCTATCTTTTTTTAAATCTCTTTTCTTTTTCTAAATTTCTTGTGGGAAGATATTTGCAAGGACATGAACTTAGTATATAAGCAAAATAGCACATTTATACTACAAGTCTCCAAGAATATGGGTTGAATCTTGAGTCTAATACCTGAATGTGTATTGATCTGTTACATGGTCTGAATTTATTTTACTATGATTCTCACCTCAGGATGTGGGGAATTTATATTCTAATATGTAGGGACAATTGAAATATCTGAAACAATATGTTAAGTATAAAAATGTAACAGTAAAAATCATGTCACTTGTATGTAAACTCTAGAAAACAATAGTGATTTGATATCTACATATTAATAAATTAAGGAGACATATTCAGGCCTTAATGCTTTTATTCATTTACAAATAACCTTCCTAATTAGGCAAATTAGTCCCTTTAAAGCAACTGATAAAATGGACTGCATTGAACTGATTCTATGACATCCTGGGAAATTGGGAAATATTTTATGTAGGTAATTGGTAAATGAGTATATGTCTGGCCATAGGTGATGGAAATATGTTGGTGGAACAATTAATTATAAGACAATTTGATGAGCTAGAATAAGACCACCTATAATCAGTACTCATTTATTATTAGGATAAATTTCCTGTTTCTGTATTTATTGCCTAGACTGGAGTACAAATATTCCAAACTAATTATGACAACTAATTCAAAAGAATGTGAGCTCCCAGCTGCAGACAGTTGTGCTATTATGGAAGGAGAAGATAATGAAGAAGAAATTGTATATTCTAATAAACAGTCACTATTGAGAAAACTGAAATCTTTGGCAACAAAGGTGAGAATAGAATTTTAATCTGGAGTTTCTGAGCATTTATAATTAGGAATCATTTTAACCTATTTTTTTCCTGCAAGTTCTGCCATTCAACATATTTATATCTTAATTCATATTTGTCCAACAGAAATATTCTTTGAAGTACATGATAGAAATGTAAGAATACATACTGCAGCACCATTTTAACTGCTTAAAAAGTAGAAACAACTTTATACAGAACAAATAAGTAGTTACATGAGAAATTTTCATATGTCAAAGTATCAGAGTACTGTGTGACTTTGTGGCTTCAACAAATTGGATAACTGTGTGCTCATGTGTCATTAGGTCCAAGAGTAAGTGAAAACAAATATCATATTGCTACTAGATACATATTGATTCTAGTGTTTGCATAGAAAGCAATTAACCACAACTGTTTGGAGTAAGAGAACTAATAAGAATGTACAGTATTTGAATTAGTATCTTTTAATAATACATTTCAAGTGAAGTATTAATACTACTTTTTACAAAGACAATGTTTTATAACTTTCTAAAACAAAAAATTATCCCATGCTCACCCATACTTCTTGTGTTTATTTATAAGATTAGTTTTCATACAGAAAACAAAATAATGACAAAAGCCTTTCAGGCACCCTATCAGCTGCTGTCACTTTTGTTGGCTGTGGCATAATTACTGTTGCCAAATTACTGCAAGGCCTTGAGTACTGTTTGAAAACACATTTTACTGACATTTGTCATCATTGACTTAAAAGATACAAATCACCAGCATATTCTTTCAAGATAAAAGTAGAATGAAGCAGAGAAGAAAATGCACATCCAAATGATTTACAGAAAGACAGACAAGTAACAAAAGATTTTATTGAAATGGTTTAGTAACCATTTTCTTCTACTTTCCTTTATTTGTTGGAAAGTCTGTCACTATTTGATGTTCCAGAGCAAGTTGTGGGCTTCAATGCAAATCCATCCTCTAAAACACATATAATTTATGAGTTAGACATTTTAAGGTGAGTACATAAAATCACAAGTATTCCTACAATTCTGAATTTTGGAATGTGTGAATACCTGTAAAACTCCAAATTCTGTCAAGGTTTGGAATGCTAGTGACACCTTTGGTAAGTAACTTCATGTCTTTTAGCATAGAGTCAACTCCTCATCCCCCCAATTAAATGATTCTGATGTCTTTTAAACTGTATGTATCTGTTTAGAGCTTAATATAATCACAGTTGTACAATATGTAGTGTTTTGTACAATTAATTGTCACTCTGAAAACATGTTTTTGAGACTTATCCATCTTGCTGTGTTGATTAGTAGATTTTCTTTCATTCATGAATGACATTCTGTTGCATGGATAAACTAAATGTGTTTATTTGTTCAGTGTCTTTTCTAGTGTTTAAACTGTGAATAAAGCTGCCGTGACTAGCATTGTACAGGTCCCATTGTGTGTTGCCTTTGTCAAAGTTTGTTATGCATGATTTCAAAAGCAAAAATGCTTCTGAGGAGGCTGGGAAGTAGCTCAGTGGTAGAGTGCTTGCCTTGCATGCATGAGTCCCTGGGTTTGACTCCTCAGCACCACATAAGCAGAAAAAGCTGGAAGTGGCACTGTGGCTCAAGTGATAGAGCACTAATCTTGAACTGAAGAGCTGAGGGACAGTGCCCAGGCCCAGAGTTCAGGTGCCACAATTGGTCAAAAAAATGCTTCTAAGTTTTTAGTTGTATCATGTAGAGATTTCTTACATATCCCCAATTGTGTTCTAAAATCCATACCTTGCTATGAATCTTCCCAATGCTGCAATGCATATAAAAATATCTGTTTATGTATGTATTTCTTCCAGAAGTTGAAAAATACCATTCAGTTTTTTAAAAGAAACAAAAGTATTGTGCTTATTCCATTGTCATTCATAGAAACTGTAAGATGCTTTGCGAGGTTTGGGTTTTATATCAAATTAGAAACAGTTCTTATGTTAGACATTAGATGATTGGAGGAGAGATCTCACGTGTGCATGATGTGCATGGTTACCAAGTATGGTAAGAGTAAGAGGAGATATCTTGAGCATCGATAAGGAGTGCTGCCAAGGCAGGAGTGATGAAGCTACTGGGAGCTTGGGAATAGATTCTGGAATTTAGAGCGTCCATAGTCTGCCTTATGCATGTCACTATTCAACATGAGAATGAACTGAAATCCTATGAACTGAAATCTGTAGAGGCTCACTTATAGTCCACAAGGGCTAGCTAGGGATTCGAAATCTGTGCCTCCTGATTTCTAATCATGGGCTTTTCCCCCTACAATGTTGTATTTTTATATATTTTCATATCCACTTACCTGTAGTGTTGGGATTAAAAATTGAGGAGATCTAGTTTCTACTTTCAGATGTTCCAATCTATTGGTGGTACTGCTTGGCTAATTATGAACGTATCCATAATGCACATGTGTACATTCTACCGCCTCAGCAGCAAAGGAGCAAGATTCTGCAGGAATGCTGACAATGTGGCATGGAAAGCCCCATGATCCCAACGTGATTGGATCAAGGGTTGTCAGTGTTTTCCTTCAAATGTTACCTTGAGGATAACCAACAGGTGTTGCTTTCCCTTCCATCAAGATCACGTTGATTTTATTTTCAAGTTTATTTTCAAGGAACAGCCACAAAAATCAGATTTCCTTTCTATCTCATGTCAGATACCCTAAAAAGTAATTAATATCACTCTACCTTTCATATCCTCTTTCCTTTCTTCTTCCTCATGGTTGGGATGAAACCCAGGATCTTGCTTATGCTAGTCAGTTCTCTACCACTAAGCTACATACTTGAGTCTTGATTTTCTTATTTTAAAAATAATCCTTGTTCTCTTTTCTCTTGCGTTTCCAGAAGTTTTTAGAGTGCTTTTTCAAAGTTTAATAATTAAAACATTTTGGAAACCCTGCCTTCTATTTATTGTTCTCCACTAACACAATAATTTATTTCAATAGATTAATGTCCTGAAATGTATCAGTGAATTCAAATGCTCTCATGTCTTATTAGTGTTATTTATTGTTGCTGTTTGTGTTCTTATTTTTCAATATATGCTACTAAAAATAACTTAATGCTATTTTGAGAACTTTATCATAAGATAACGTAAAATAATGTCAGTAATTTGAGATGATTTAGTTTCTGTCAGTTCTGTGTTGCTCACAGTTAGCATGTCAAGGTTACTTGTTTCAATCCCAAAGCCACATATGTCCCCAGGAAGGGTCTCAGTGTTTTGCTTCTTCACAGAAATCAAAGCTACACCTTCTGATATCCATTGCAATCTTCTGTTTTGCTTCTATTTTGGATCTGTCTGTCTTGTCGCTTGGACGTCAAAACTACGCTTCAGGGTAGCCATGCTATTTGTTTTTTGTCTGTCGCCTTACTTTAAATGTAAAATCCTAATTGTAACTGGCAGGTGCATGTATGAAAATGATTCTTTGAACTTTCCTTCTGGAGAAATAAGATCCTAAAATCTTATTTGAATTTCGGTGAATTGATTCTTGTTTTTTTTTTGTTTAATACCTTTTCTTTAGGATAAAGAAGATCATTTTGAATCTGTTCAACTGAAATCCTCAAGATCTCCTAATATATGAAGACAAGTGCTGTAGACTTCAGACTCAGAGAATAGAGAAACCTGCTCTCTGGTTTCACTGGACCATATGTTAGGGCTTGTCCTGACACCTGTCATGTTGGTGATCACAAAGAGGCCATGATGCTGCAAAGGGCAGGAGGTAGAGATATTGATTGCCTTATCCCATGGTCGAGTACCTTGCCAAATAAGGGCAAACAGATGATTTGGGTCTCAACTGAAGATGTAGCTTTACTCAGGAAGAGATTTGTCTGTATATACACATGACTGAAAACCCAGTTCAAGCCCACCAGTGCGCTGCTGATGCATGCCATATAATTTATGGGTAACTTTTATTCTTTATCCTGTCTACCGAAAAGAAGTGTGTTTTGGAGGGCAGATGTGAGCATATGCCTTGTGATTCCATTTATGTCTTGTCTTTGTTTGTATTTTGAGAAAGAGTTGGAAAAATATTTCCCATTATTTATTTCCAATAGACATGAAAACATCTTTTCTATTAAAATGGTAAACAGTTAAAGACAATAAAATTTTCTTTTTTTCCCTGTAGGGTATGTTTTCTTATTTCAGAAGGCTAAGTTATTTGTAATATTTTAGGGAGTGTTAGCATGTGCTTGGGTTATTAAAATTTATTATGGCCTTGAAATTTCAGCCTTGTTAAAACTGGTAAAAATAGTTTGATTGAAAATTTGAAGGAATCTCAAAAAAATAAACAGAACAGGAAAGGAGAAGTCTTGGCTTTCTATTAACACAAACTATCTGTTAATATAGAAGTCTAATGGCTAAATACATTTTGTGTGACATATGAAGATGAAGAGAGCAGAAAAGTTTAGTGAGAAAAGCACTTGCACAATCAGGTAGAATGTATAGAATGTGTGATGATTGTCCCTAAGTAAGGGTTACTATACCAATATATTGAGTCGTTGAGCAACTACAGTGGGATAATTTGGAAATCTCCAGAAAAATATCAGTGAGATGCTTCCTTCCTGTGAAGAACCAGAAGTTATATGATTATTTATTTATTTATTTATTTGAGACAGGGTTTGGTTATGTAGTCAGGATCTCCTTAAACCTGCTCAGCCTCTTGAGCGTTGGGATCATATTTTGTGCCACGCTACCTGGCTTTATTTGGTAATGTTTTTACTACATGATTTCAAGGAGTATGGTTTCATTGGAAGCTTTAATTTTTTAAGCCAAGAAGGCAACAATTTGATTTTCAAAAATGAATATAATTCTATTTATAATAAGAAAATTATTGTATCATAAACAGTTATAAAATATGCATTGTTCTTATTTAAAATGATCCAGAAAATTATGTGTTTTTTTTAAATGATGGGTTACTGGTATTGGCATGATTTGGACATCATTTGTTGAAAGAAGTCTGAAGGTGGATTTGACCTATTTTCTTTCAACTTTGTTTTAAAACTGGGACAGAAGGAACTATCCTGGCCAATGAAGATCTAAGGTGCTCTGCTTTATTTTCCATAAGAAGTAATATTTATGGATTTTTCAAAAGACTTGTGATTGGCTGAGAGAGGCAAGGCACATGAGTAAAGTTTGTTGAATGTTTTACCCCAGACATTTCAATGAAGTATACCTTGTAATGTTTGATTCTATAGGTTGGTATTGTCTTTATATTAGTGGAAAGAGAGAGAAGATGAATAGTTGTTTTCAGTGGCCAGTGGGTAAAACACTGCTCATTTTGCTATCTTTGGATGAATGCTTGTTTTGTGTACTCCTCTAGTGTTACATACAGACATATGTAAAATTATAATATTGTTTGTTGTGGAATTTCAGGAGAATGTTACTTAGCATAAAACTTTTTTTGCACTTAACTTACTGAATCTTTTTTAAAGAAGAGATTATTTTGGCATTGCTCATTTTTGTCCCACTAACAGAGTGTTGTCAGGTTTTTCTCCATCTTGATCAAAATTTAACCAGAAGAATGAAAATACACCTGTTCAGTGGACTCCTGGTAAAGCTGTACAGGCTGGACAGAGTCAGGAAGTTTCTGCAGTCACCTGTCACATCTCTCTTCAACTTCTGCTGTGCTCAACATGTATGTTCCAAGCCATAGAGATAATTGGGATTTGCTCCCAGGTAGTTTCTTTCTTCTCTTGTCACTGGACTAAAATCTCTGACGTGTCAAAAATGCCTTACATTTTAATGAACTCTCTCAAAATGTAGTTGATATTGAAGAATTTATTTTATTTCTAATTTTAGATATTGAGTAGGTTTTGTCAGCACAGTCCTATCTTTGGAAAAGAACTGTTTTTTTCCCCCCTTGGATTCCAGTGGCTTGCCATTTTATTCTAAGAGCTGAAGAAATATGAGAGAAAATATCATGAAGAAGATATTCAGACCAATTCTGGCTATAAAATTCATGTTAGTTATATGTCTAGCCTTTGCAAAACTTAGTGACCTGTTGAAAGGCATAAGCAAAATAATTGTGTTTTTGTGACTTTTAATTGACATTTGTTATTTATCCCTCTCCTCAAGTGATAGGAAAACATGTTGTTTGTTGTTTTCTCTAAAAGGCATACTTTGATGCCTTAAATATTTTATTGAGTTGTTACCTATAACATCTCCTAGCACTCTGTCAAAAATATATTTAAATCAGTTTTCCACTAGATGAACACGTCTTCTATGGATAAATGATATCATGCCATTTAAAAATGCTGAGTCAATTGATATATGTTCATTTTATTTAAAAGACTGAATTTTATGATTGTGGACTTTTCTCCTCTTTGGTTACTAATAATCAAATCCTTCCTAGGATTAAAAATATTTCATAGTATTTTTGTGTCGACTTTTGCCATTATTTTCTTCCCAAGGGAGGTGGCGGTGGGGGGGGGGAGGGGAGGTGAGGGCTGGGAGGGGGGGGGGAGATGCCGCGAAACAAGTGGCTTAGAATTTCTTGGTACCATTCATTGACCAGCAGAGGTCTCCAGGTACTCAGAGTGGTGGATCATATATCTATGTGCTTCTTCAAGATCCTTATGGGAAGTGTCATTTGATGTCTACTGAGAGCTCCGCTTCCTATGGTTCATGGTCCTTCTTACTGGGAAGCTACTATGTAGGTTATTTGTTTTTTCCTTGTGAAATTAATTTCCTTGGGATGAGGGTGAGAAGATGATTTCATTAACCAATTTAAACTCAACAAATGTATTGCTTAAATTTAGCATTTAACATTGGTGATATGAAGAAGAGATCTTCAGAGTATCTAAAACCTACTCAGTTTTATTTTGTGGTAGGTAGGAATTTTATCCCAGGTTTGCAGACCCTAAACAAGAAGTCCTAAAGGGCATACATTTTTTGAAAATCTCAACATCTAACTCATTGCATAGACGCTAAGATGGAGTGTACTTTTAGAGTAACTGGGTAGAGATTGTGCTCTTGCCAGATTTTCTTTGGTTTAATATGTGAAGATGAGTTCATTTTAGGATCACAAAGGAAAGAAGTAAAACCTAAGCTGGGGTTAAATAATTGAAAAGAAAATTAATTTCTATTTGTATTATCATTGATATTATTATTGCAGTTGTCTACAGCAGAGGTCAGTAAACTATTAAGAATAATACATCATCTGTCTTTGCAGGAGATATGGATATCTACTGAGATGTTCAAGAAGAAAATTACCCCTCAATGATTTAGTTACCTGCACAGATACAAAAAGTGTCAGATATTCTCTTGAGTAATTTTCACTCCAAGACTTCATTTTTTATATTAATTAACAGCTAAAGAAGCTAAAGCTACTTCATGAATGTAAACTAGGAATACTATTTTTTAAGGCTTTCTCATTTTTATATAATAAAACCTCTCTTTATATATGCATATAGTCTTTTCTTATTTATATATTAGTTATTAGAAAAGCAATTGCATTTAGAGATGATAGTCTATTTTACATATTGATATATTTCTTTATATTTTGTCTACCAGTACTGGGGCTTGAACTTGGGGTCTTATACTCTATTTATCATTTATGCTCAAGGCTATCACTGTACCATGTGAGCCATGCCTTTACTTCCAGCTTTTTACTGGTTAATTGAAGATAAGAGTCTCTTAGATTTGTCTGCCTAGGCTGATTTTGAACTTTTCTCAGATCTCAGTAGTTGGCTTCTCAGATATGAGTAGCTAGGCTTACAGGCATGAGCTGCAGTTCTTGATTTATGGATCTATTTAAAGTTAAGGGATTTTGATGCATGAGAATACCTCTAGAGTAGATTACTAAGACCTGACACTGGAGAGGGTGCCCCTGGTTACATGTTTAGGTAGGACATACCTCACTCCTTGAAAAAATATCTCATCGAAGCTTTTAGTGCTAGCATTTTCTTATTATTAATAATCCATTAAAGGAATTTTCTGTTTAAAGGTTGTAGGTTTTGGTTAACTTGAATTAGAAGCGTTAATATTTCCTTTATGTCAGAAAACTGATTTCAGAGGACCATTGGTTTGTAGTTTAAATAAAAGCTAAACCAATGAGAATTGTGCCAATCTGTAACCTGATTATAAACCATCCTCCTAGAATCTCCTTTTCCTAGATTGGATTACAGCCCTTCTCTGAAGAGCTATAGGATCTGAAACTACTAAAGTGAGAAGAAGAAGAAAGCCGAGACTAGCTGAGAGAGACTGTGAACTAAAATCCTGTGAAGGTAACTGGGTATCTTTTCTTAGCTATTCTTCCCCTATGTCTTCTGTGTGGTTTTCAAGTCGGAGTGCCTCACAGTTTAAAAGTAGGGACTTTTTTTTAGCATGAAAAACTTAGATGGTCAGAAACATTTGTTAATATTTAAATTAGGGAGGGCATAGAAGCACTCTAAAACCTATATACTCCTAAAAATCAAGGACAATCAAGCAGATAGTTAGATACTGATATGGTTTCTTAATATTTTTTGTTGCTGATATTTTTTAATGAATAAAATATATCATTTAGCTGGGGTTTTTTGGATACAATAAATTCCATAAAGATGGATTGGTTCAGCTAGTTTTATATTCTGGAATGATGAGATGTTGTTATTGATATGAAAAAATAAATCTAAACAATCCAGGACCTATTTATTTTGAATGGCTTATGTAATACAAGATTCTATAGTAGCTATTTTCCATACATATGTTGAATGTTTTTTAAATAAAATTATGTCTAAGACTACATGTTAGAGTGTAACTTTAAAATCAGAAATAATCTTTGTAGCCAGGAAGGAGAAAAATAACAAGAGCTGTTGGTTAATATATTTTTACTGTACCAGCTGGGCCTAGGATATAGTGGACATGTATCAAAAGCCATTCTTTAAAATCATTAGGCCTGGTTCATACACAAACCCGATTGTCTTATTTTAAAAGATCCAAGATCAGTGTAATTGTGTCTCTGCAAAACCCATTTGATATTGCCTTGCTCAGACTGTGACATTCCATCAGTAGTTGAGTTTAT